TGACCATGTTTGTTTTACTAATCTCTGTATTTTTCCTGAACCGTTTTAGGATATATTGCAGACACGTATCCTTTAAATACTTCAGTGTGTATCTTCTAAAACTAAAGACATTTTCTTCTTGCATACAGTCACAATACATTTATCAGCAAAAGTTAATACTATTATTTAATCTAGAAACTTCAAAATTGGTCTCATGCATGTCCTGATCACAAAAATAAATAAATAAAAATTATTTTTCAGGCCCAAGATTCAATCCAGGACATGTTGCATGTACTTGTCATGTCTCTTCAGTCTCCTTTTTAATCTGAAACAATTCCTCAGTCTTGGTCTTTCAGGACATTGACATTTTTGAAGCATACAAGCCAATTATTTGGTGGAATATTCTTCAAATTGGGTTTGTCTGATGTTTCCTCATGATTAGGTTCAGATTATGCCTCATGGGGGCATGAATACCACCAAAGTGAGGCTGTGTCCTCTTTATAGCATCACATGAAGTACATATGATCTACTTGTTCTATTATTAGTGATGTTAACTTCAATAACTTGAATAAGGTGTCTATTCTTCCTTATTAATGATCCTTGTGAGAAGATACTTTGAGATTATGTGACTATAATAATAACCAATGCTTTTTTTTTTTTTTTTTTTAAATCAGCCAACTCTACCTTATGGTCTACCTAATTCTCTGTAAGTAAGAACTTGTGAAAATGTTTAGAGTCCACTTCGGGTCATGAAATAGCTAAGCACGCAGCTTTCCCTAGTGTGAGGTCTATTAACATTCTACTTTACCCTTTTCCCTCATGCATACAAAGAAAGAAAACTACGATGCTATTTTTTAAAGAACATAAAAAAAATATCTAATCTCATTCGTCATTCATCAGATGAGAAAGCTGAATCCCAGACAGGCTAAGTGACTTGCCTAAGGTCAGACAGCTACTCAGTAGCAGACTTGAAAATAATTAAGTGCTCATTGTAGAGCAAGAAAGGCAAAGTCAGTTCAGCGCCCTTCAAATATATAAGGCCTACAGGCACACCTGATGTAGTCTAAGGCAGATTGCTGGGCCAGTTTTGAGAAAGTAACGGGATTCTTACACAGATCCACAGGTCAGAGTAGAACATCTTCCACCACGGAGTCACTGCAGTTTCCCACGGAAGCCCATCATCTCACTGCTAGGCCTGAGCTGTGTTTTTTTTTTCTTCTTCTTCTTCTTTTTTAATATTTTTAAATTTATTTGGCAGAGAGCGAGCAAGTGAGCACAAGCAGGGGGAGCGGGTAGGCAGAGGGGGAGGGAGAAGCAGGCTCCCCACTGAGCAGAGCCTGATATGAGACTGGACCCCAGGAGCCTGAGATCATGACCTGAGCCAATTGCAGATGCTTAACCGTCTGAGCCACCAAGGCACCCCTGTATTTTCTTTCTTTCTGTCTTTTTCTTCTCTCTTAGAAACACTCATAAGTCACTTCAGAGGCAAAAATAAAGTCTCGTAGCTCTGGGAAAGAGCATTGCCTACAATGGGATCCTAACCTAGAACTGGTATATGCTCCTTGCCCAATACGCTAGACTCCTGTTTAATTCTAACCATTATCTTTTTATGTGTTATTTTGCACTTGCATGAGGCAGGTCTGCCATCATCTCATCATGTTTTACAAACTTGAAAAATAGTGGTAATTTACCCAAGAATATTCTAACCTGGACTAACGTAGAAGCAAGCAGCCCCTTCTACAATGCACTGGAATTTTCTTTTCCAAGGTGACTACATTATCTAAGAAAAAACCCTAGTAGGTTTCAGCAGTTGGAACTCCAATCTCAACCTCTACCCAGAATCCAGAGTGGACTTGGGCATTAGGGCATTAGCTTGCTTGCTCTGTTTCCTCCAAAACGTTTTAGAAGTAATGGAGATGTCAGTGCCCTGTCCAATCAAGTATCCTAAGTAATATTTCTTGGTAAAAATTATTTTTAGATAATATTTAGCAGCATACCTGAAACCATGAACAGAGGTAAGGACTATAAAGGCATCCTGCACAATCCTCCTTAACCACTTCTGAGAAGTACAATGTGCAGAAAAATAGAAGCAACGTTTTAATTATGGGTTGGTTAACTCTTAATCAGGATCTGGTATAAGATAAGGTATATTCGAAGAATCATTAAAGCAAAGATATTAATTTCTATGAATTAAAATTAATAATTCAACTCAGAAATGTAGGAAAATGCTTGCTGTGTTAGGAGTTACTAGTAGTGGTGGTGGTAGTAGTAGCCACAGCAGTAGCAGTAGCATCAGTTGTAGCTGATATTTATTATCTACAATGTACCAGTGCTGTGCTGAATGTTTAAAGCTCCTCATTTAACCTTAAAAACCATCTTAGTGTTCTTATTTTATATAAAAGTCAGTACAAAGTACATGAAATACTGGGATAGCATTAAAAATTTGACCTAAGATTATAATCATGCTGCATGGCAATGACTGAATAATCTTGGGAGTCCAGATAATCACACAATTATTGCTGACTGACATACTAACTCACTCCCTCATTTCTTTCTTGACACTTTATGAGATCTTCCGTGATCCTCCTACATACAAATAGCAAACTCCCATCCCACACCTGCTGAGTGGCCCCATTAAAATATAAGCTCTCTAAGGGCAGGGACTTGTCTTCTCAACTGCTATATCCCAGTCCCTACAGTGCCCTGTCTGCATTGGTATTTAATGTATATCTGTTGAAGGAATGAATAATTGATAAATAAAATCAAACTCCAACACAGATTAATTTTAAATGACTGATTTGCTTTTACTTCTTGATTGTAAAAGGGTTCTGTGGCATGCTCACCAGAGTCTCTTAAAAAGACTGGGTGGGGATATTTGACCACATGATTCTGTTGAAAAATGCCCTGCAGCTCATACTGATGTTCAATTCAAAATCATTCCATCTCCTACACTCCTTTTGCTTAAAAACAGGCAAAAGGCCTGTAACTCCATTCCTCATAGCTAAGTAAGTTTGAGCATTAAATATTAAGTAAGTTCAAAATGTGTTGAACATTAGAGACAAATTTTAGATTAGGCAACTCTGCTCATCGGTGGACAACATCCTCTGAACACCTCCATGTGCCAAGCATAGAGAAAGTGCTGGGAGTAACCATGCAGTGCGATATGATGGCTAATGACCTTCCACTAATATGGGACATCTGCTCTTGCTGATTGCCAACCTCTCCCACCTTGGCTTTCTAGAACTAAGTGAACTCAAACAAACAGGATTTTTAGTGTAACTGACCTCCTTGGCATCTTTTATCATCTCCTGCTGCTAGGAAGGCAAAGTAAAGGACAGTAGAAAATTATACTTTTCACTTGGGGAAAAAAGGTCGTAACTTTGGCAGACTCTTAAGAAATTCATAGGAAAGAAAAAAAAGATATTTGTAGGAAAATTGTTTTTCAAGGAAAAACTTCTGTTTTTAAATGAGGGAAAATTATGTTCTCAATGAGAATCTTTTTTTTTTTTTAATTTTTATTTATTTATGATAGTCACACAGAGAGAGAAAGGCAGAGAGAGAAGCAGACTCCACGCACCGGGAGCCCGATGTGGGATTCGATCCCGGGTCTCCAGGATCACGCCCTGGGCCAAAGGCAGGCGCTAAACTGCTGCGCCACCCAGGGATCCCTCTCAATGAGAATCTAAGATAATTGGGTACAACTGGGCTGAAAAACAGAAAGATAACTTTTTTTTTTCCTTTTTAAAAGTAGGCTCCATGCCCAGCATGGAGCAGAATGCAGGGTCTGAACTCCCAACCCTGAGATCAAGACCTGAGCTAAAAAAAAAAAAAAAAAAAAAAGACCTGAGCTGAGATCAAGAATTGGATGCTCAACCAACTGAGCCAGCCAAATGCCCCTAGAAAGATAACTTTTAATAGGTGTTAAAGTTTCAAAATAAAGTGTGCTCTGACTACTTTCATTACACAAGCTTAGTCATTTATTACTGATCCTTGTGAAGAAAACAGCTATTAAGTTATTCAAATAAAAAAATCTGTCAGTTGATATGACAAATTACTTGTATATTTACTTATACACAAGAGTATGAAATTTTACTGATGTTGTTAGAGCCCTGAATGTTACCTGTTTCCCTTTCAGTTTCTGCTTTCAGGGGAAAAAAAAAAAGTTAAAGTTATTTTACACAAAGCAAATTCTTTTTTCAAATACCTCTAGATATTCCTGTTCTGCTTAGACTAAAGATTCTAAGAGTAATAAAATTGTATTCATTTCTCCTCCGAAAGAATTTTACTTAAAAAAAACTGATATTAACATAAGGGAAGAAAATCACACTTTATTCATGGTATTTTTCATCACAATATTCTCTTTACTTGCCATCTCTACCTCCGGGAAGATTACATGATATTAAACAGTGATGAGAAAAAGTTTTGACTTGAACTCACACTCCAACTATCACATGCTTCTGTATGGTGTGCTAATCTTTTGTGATTAGCTGTGGCACGGTGCTCCTTCTGCAGGAAGGTCACTGAGATACACTTGTAAACACTGGCTATCAGAGGAAACAGGCGCTAGCCATTTCAAAATTCTGAAACTAATCATTAAAATAGGATCATAGGCAGATTTGGGATACCAGGTGAGATGGGCTGGCTGCACACCAGCCTTGCTAAGATACCATTAACTCAAACAGCATTATGAGTACAAACAGGTATGAGTTAAAAAAGAGTTTGGCTACTATAAAAAAATCCATGAAAAGTACAAAACTTACATATTCACATACCCTTTACACTTCTGATGGATTTCTAAACACAAACACAACTTTTGATGAGGCACAAAGAACTATGTCTAGACACAGTCATAAACGTTTCTGTTTGTCCATCTGATTTTGCTTAGCTCCACAAAAAGCCCTGGCTACACAGAGCAGCATATTAATGGGCTCTATTTCAAAATTTGGAATGAAGATGTTTCATGTTACTGTGCCTCCAACCCTTAAGTGGTAGCAAATTGCATTCTGAACTGCGGTACTCACAGCTGTTGCCTGCTCTATTACCCCTCTGCCCAGCTGAATGTTCGGGCTCCTTGTACGGAAACTGTAGGGTCGTATCCAAGGTTCTGAAACCTTCTTTCAGAGAATGATGCTTGTAGTACTCCACAAGTTCCTTTAGGATGAAAGAATTAAAGATTACTTTTTATAAGGATACTTTTATTCTCAAACACATGAACTCCTTGACCACATAATTATATACAAAGGGAGGATGTTGATATAATATGAAATTCTCCATAAGTATATGGACGGGTACATAAATGATAATCTCTGGACGTACCTGGCACCTAACTAACAATCATCCTTGTGACTCAGGCTGGCCACTGATAATGTGAGTTACCTCCTACTGTTATTCACGGATAAAGAGCATCCTGTTAGTCTTCAGTCAGATGCAGCCAATGAAAAGAAACCATACTAAACTTTAATTGCAGAACAGTAATTATTGTTCTTATTTATGAAATACTTGCTTTTCTAAACAAAAATAAAGAGAACAGCTGTTTGCTGAATATATAGCAATTTCTCGTTTCCTGCATTTTCTTTCAAACTAGCAGAAAAACAGCCTTGATTCTAAATGTTCTTTTTCATGGTGAACCAAAACTGATAAACCATAAATGCTACCTGACATTCTTTCTGGCTTACACTGAAGTATTAGTGCCCCTCCATAGCTCTGCATAGCATCTGCTACGTATACAGGTCAATAATGTAGTAGTTTCCCTTCTCCCTTGTATCTAATTTGCCTTAAATGTATCCAAGCCTAATAGAATAACCATCTACCAGTCTTTCATGTTAAAATTTCAGGCAATTTCTCTTCAGATGTTGGTTTAATAGATTCTGCACAAATCTGAATCCTTCTATTTTAAGTAGAAAATAATAATTAGTTCATAATGGAAAAATGCATATCATTATTGGATGAGTACTAAAGGTATGATGTTTCTTAGAAATACCTGAAATGAAAGGCATTATCACTTTTAACCTATTTGGCACTTTTATTACTGTTTAAAACAAATAGTATAAAAGTAACTCATTTCTTCTAAAAAACCACACAACTCAGTACCTCTATTCAGTGGTTATGTTCAAAGTTTCCCAAACAAATCAACTGAACCAAAAATCACCCGAAAGAAGCAAAAAAGAATTATCAATGATTTATATTATTTATGATTTACATTATTTATAACTAAACTTGGATGATTTGCAGAATGCATTTTGTGGGGAGTTCCAGGAGTCACAAAGATTATGAAGATAAAGCTATTGCCTTCTAGGACTGCTCACTCTAGAAGGGAAGTCAGGGGTTATGGGTGTTCAAAGGTGACTTGGAGAACTTCCTTTTGTGAGCCCTGTGGAGAGGATGAGGGAACAGTTCATAATGGAGGTAGCTTGTCTTAAATTGAAGAATAGGCAAAATTTCAGACGCCAGAAGGAGGGAAGGATAGTCTTAAGCAGAGCAGTCAAACTAGAAAGAGGTGACTGAGTAAAGGCCATATTCATAAACAAAAAGCCAGCATGGTTTGGCTGAAGCAAATGGAGATTCTTCAACTCCCATATCTGTAAAACAGGGATAATATATCATTTCACAGATGATAGTAAAGAATGTATATAGAGTGTCTGGGACATGTGAATAATCATAATTATCACCACAATCCCATGGGCCAGGACTATTACATGGCTTTGCACAATCTCCACACAATAAAAATAGGAGGCTTAGTCCTCATTGATATGCTAATCAACTTGTGCAAGGTTGAACAGCTGACGTCTGTCTCCAAGGCTTGTGCTCTTACATTGTACTATTAGCAAGTAATGTCTGGCAAATGTAAATACACAACAATGGAGGCAAAAGGGAAGGAGCATTTGCTAAGTTTCCACGATGCACCAAGAATTTTATTTTCCTACATCTAAGATGCTACGGTTTTACATACTTTATAACTATCTCTCCCTATCTCTATTTCTTCTTTCTTTCTTTTTTGAGCCCAGATTATGGGGGTCTTTGATGAAGCAAAGGAATTTGGAATCTGACCAACTTAAAAAGAAAAGAAAAAGAATTAAAATATCATATAGAAGTTTCTATCCTCGAAATGGCTTCAATAAAAAGAATATGGCACTTGTATTATTGTGATTTTTAACATGGTTTGCAAAGGCAAGGCCTAGAATTAAATTCTACAGACTAATAAATTCTAGAGACTTATTTAATGCTTTAAAAAATAAAATTAAAAAATAAAAAGCAAAATTGTTTAAGGTCTCTACAAGAACTGTACACATATATATGGTGTTGCTGATGCAAACGCTAATGATATCAAAGTGTTGTTCTTTTAGTTTACTTTTAGTTTTAGTTTACTTAAACTAAGTAAAATGTGTTCTTTAGCAAAAATACAAAAACAAATCTGAAAGTAACTTATAAGCCAATAACTTTGAGCATAAGTGTAATTTTGTTATAAATAGTATGAATTTTATGCATTATATTATAGATTAGTATGAATTAAGGTTTATGTGAAGTTGGCTAGAAACCAGAAAATTATCATACTGAAAAGGACTTGGTGATCATTTATTTCATACCTACCCATCTCCAAATTTTATGGGAGAAAAAATGATGTTTCTAAGGCCTAAGGTCATGCAGCTTGGTAAGCTGCAAATACTCTTTTATCACTTCACTAAGCATGGAAGATATTTTAGTTCCATTTTTACAGTCTTATGAAGGTAAATCTTCCTTCATGTCTCTAACTGGGTAGAATTAAATTGTGCCACCATGGGTCTTTTCCAATTTATGCCTTTTCTGCTTTCTGTATTTTAGTCTAATCCACCCCTGCTTTAGCAGTCATTGACCTTCAGGTACTACAAGTAAATAAGAAGACTCTAAACAAAAGAAATCGCTAAGCTTTCCTTATCTCACACTGACACAGCAGTGTCAACAATTCAAGTCTCTCTGAAAAATAATGAGTGAGAGTCAGTCATTCCAATTACCAAGGAAACAGGCAATGGAGATGATTTATAAACAGCATTTGGACATGGATTGCCTGGCATACATGAAAATTAGAACAAAATTAATGCCTTGTAATCTGGATATAGAAATTCATTTAGAATTTGAATTTAATGACTAAGAAAAACAAAGATTTTGATTAGCTAAGCTATTGAAACCCAAGGGGAAAAGCTTAGGTCATAACCACCTAAGGTCAATCTTCTCTTTGAGAAACTGGCTAATTTAAAACAAGTTCTGGAGTTTTCTCCCATTTCACATGCTTTCAAAATTAAAATTTAATTCCAGGCCCTTATAATAAGTTTCATAGGTAGAAGCATATAATTTTACCACCCATAATGAGAGGACACAACTCAAATGCACAGACCATTAGGTACTTATATTGGAAACTGTGTTATTTGACACCAGCGTGATACAAGGTAACTCCTTGAAGTTGTAAAATCCTGATTTAGAGAAGCTCCTACATTGTCAGAGTGAAGTCAGAGGTGCCTATTAATTCTCTCTTCCCTTCCAAAGGGGCTGCATACTAAAAGAAGAGCCACTCCTTCTGATCAAGTACCCAGGTAGAACTTCTGAGTTTAGGTTTAAAAGACAACACTACTGTGAAGTTCTTGCTACACATGGATTTACAAATTCGAAAGCTTCTTTAGAATAGTGGAGTCATTTTCAATTCTGCAAAAACATAATGGTTTCATATGGTAAGGACTCAATATCAATCTGTTCAACAAATGAACAGAAACAAAGAGGAGGGGCAGCTCCAGACTAGTTCCATGGTCTCTTTAGCAGTTTTTACAGTTATCTGCTAAAGCTGACAAAACTTTTTATCCAAGAGTTATTTAGCTCCTTTTTTTCACAATTATTGTATCATTTTGCTAATATTTTTAGTTTCACGGTAGTTATGCTATTAATTCTAAATTCCCTCTGGGGCGCCTGCGTGGCTCAGAAGGTTGAGTGTCTGCCTTCGGCTCTGGTCATGATCCTGGGGTCCTGGGATGGAGCCCCCATCAGGCTCCCTGCTCAGAGGGGAGCCTGCTTCTCCCTCTCCCTCTGCCCCTCCCCTGCTAGTGCTCTCTCTCTCTCTCTCTTAACGAATTAAAAAAAAGAATCTTAAAAAGCATTCTGAATCTCTTCCATTTAACCTGCTGTGCTATGTGCTTCCTTACATAAGGTGCTTTTCTCCAGATATGAAGGGAAAAACATATGCCTGCATCTCTAGCAGTGGCATTTATGATATTTTATACATACCATACAAAAGGGGGAGCTTGTTTTAGCTCTGCGACAGTACTTTTAATTCCCTTTCGAGAACATCACTGCAGAAACTTTCACTGCTCTCTGTACACATTATTTAAGAATTCAGGGGCGGGGGGGGGAGCTATGGCCTATGCTATAATCATAGCTTTATATGTAGATAGGAACTCAAGGACCTATATTCATTAATCCAGGTCGTAAAGTATTTACTGGCTTTTCACTTCTCACCTTAGCTTACTTTCTGGAGCTGAGCCAAGGGACACAAAGCTGAATTGATTGGCCCTTTCCAGTGACTATTCCTTTCATCCTCTTTGCTTGTCTCCTCGGATGGGAGTTCCTTTTGTTACTTTCAAAGTTGGCAAAGCTGGCAGTCATCTTTGGCCCTATAGCATTTTTTTTTAAAGTCTCCACATTAACTATAATACCGTGGAGCAGCCTCATTATCATCCATGGAGGTTCTGCAGGTGAAAGCTCAAGCCGATATGTCTTGCAGCGATGGAGAAACCCCCTGTGCATGCTTTTATCAAGTCTCAGCTGGGGCTGTCATTCATTATTTGTGCATCCACTTGCCACCTCCCTCCTAGGTTTTCATTTTAGGAAAAACCTCCTCAGGTCCAGTTCTCTGTGCACAGCCTGCTTGTTCCAACAGAACGTAAGCCACTTCCAGCAGGGAGGATACCTAGATCCTGGTTACTAATTTGACAGGGCTCACATTTTCTGGGACATGATTTTGCTGCCCATCCTTAACTTTTGAATTGGGAATGTGATATTTATGTTCAGAGAGGTTTTCTGACTTTCCTTTCAACTCAAGATGCTTATTTCTTTAAAACACTAATCCCTGTCTCGAAGCAGTTCTGAATTTTTAGATAAAGCTTTCAAGCTGGCCTATTTTGTAAGGCTCTCTTACATTCAGTTTTAACTTTAATGTTTAACAACTGCAAAGTGCTCTGAGATGTTTTCCAGAGGATGCAGTATGTATCATTTGACTGATGGCTCAATCAATGAGTGGTCCTTCCCAATGTTACTCAAAGTACTTAGAAGTATGCTTACAAATGTATCTTGTATCCTGTGTCCAAATACTTCATTATCTCAAGAAACTCTCTAACTTGAGAAACAGACTTGAGACCACTTTTAAAGAAATACGAACTTTACTGTCAGCAATGCATACATACTGCCCTATATGGCCTGTTTTTATGACATTCATAATACGATGAACTAATGAAGCTATTAAGTGGTAATTTTTTAATTGTAAGAATAAAATAATCTTGGTTTATTTGAAGCAACTTGGTAACAATGTACTATTTCAATTTAAATATAAAATTCTTATGAAATACCAACTATTTGGTAAAAACGTTACCCTGTTAATACTTAATTGTCCAAGGTAATGATGCAGAATCATACCACAGATGATTTAAAATAGCAGAAAATCCAAAAAGCTTTTCTGTTTGACCTTATATTGTATTTTGCCTGAAATGAACCTAGTGAGAGGTATTTTACCAATTAGTTTTTCTGTTATTAAAAATACCTTCCTCTGTTGGAATGAGGAGTTAGAGGCAGAAGGAAGAAGGGAAAAGATGCATGTTAAAGATCTGCCCTGTCACTCAAACACAAGGCAAAACACAAATAACTGAGGGTTGACTAAATTTGCCTATTGTTCTAAGAATCATAAATAATGTGGACTCTGAAGTATTATCTAAAACTTGCAAACTTAATTTACAGTGAAAAATAGGAGTAGGGCAATATAAAACTTAAATGGAATTCTTAAGAATTATCAGGATTCTACTGCAAAATTACAGGATTCTCTTAAAAACAATTTTTCGATGCACAACATTTCCAAGAAAATAGAATTAAACTGATCTTTCTAATAAGAGCAAAGGACCACAGATTGAAAAGAACTAATCAATGCTTACCATTAAACTTTTAAATTTTCTATTTTCTGCAATGTGAAAAAAGCCATCTCTTGTTAAAATCTTGATGTGCTTTGCTTCATTATTGTACCTGTGGGCAACGAATAACGTATGAATATAAATGTGTTTTTAATCAGTAGAAATCAATAATTACCAGAGGGCATGCCCCAATAAAATTATGGGAATTAATTCCAAAGACAAAATATATACCTATGCCAATACACTGGTGACAGCTAATTAGCAAAATATATTTACTAGATTGGTTGAAGATACAACCAATATTTGAAGTGGGGGGGTTAGATTTGACCAATCATTATGCCCAATTTATTGGGTAAGTTCAGTTTGAGAGTATAGAAAAAACAAAAACGAAATCTAGTAATATACATTTTTAGAATTAACAAGGAGCATATACATATCAAATTACCAAAATACAATGTTATGAAAGAAATCTAATATGCCAATTAGCAGCCTATAACAATACTGTTTTTATAACAAATATTTTCAAATATTAATGAACTGTCTGGATAGATGCATTATTTCTGCTGCAATTAGAACCTTGGTTTTTAACTTCAGTGTTATACATGTCAGATGGTCTATGCAATTATGAAAACAGGAAATCTATTTCTATAAAAGTACTTGTCCTACTTACTTAATGCTAATTGCATATTCTCCTGACTCTTTGGTCCTGTGCCTCACAAGGTAAGTACTATTTACCCTATTAATAAGTTCAGTCTCTGCCTGCAATCTTTCCATTGCTCCAGCATACCTGAAAGAAACAATGACATAGAAAATTTGGGTAATAAAAAAAAATAAAATCTGGGTAATATACCTGGAACACAACAGAAGCTAAAAATAAGTCTCTGTCAAGATTTTAATTTAGTGGCAGATTGGAGCTGTTTTTACTTCGATCCTAACTAATTACATGACTTCAAAAAATAATGCAGAAAAAAGTCCTGCTCTACTAAGCTAGCAACAGTGAAGTGAACAGTGCCTAACACTCAGTAAGCACCCAGTGAATATTTATCAAATAAATAAATGGGGCAAAGTGAGGAGTGAGCAGGCACTGGGTTAAGAGAGAAATCTACAGGGAGTTTAATAATAAAAAAGAAAAAGACTTGTAGGGAGGGACTATTGTGCACAGGACATACACACACACGTGTACACATACACCCTCTAAAATTTCACCTTTTCTATACATACTATGAAATGAAACCTACTTTGAGCATCTTTTTAAGATAATTCCAGTAACAATTTAAATTATTTTTAAATAATTATTTTGGGAGATATAGGATGAATTCTTACGATCCACAATTTTGTTAACCAATTTTCTTAAGAGCTTAGTAGTAGTTAAATTTAATTTTAAAAGGTAGGTATTTTCAATAATAAAATTCAGTTCCTCCTAAACTATCTCCATCTTAAACATATCCAAATTCCATAACAACAACAGCATTAATATGAGGCCCAACTCCAATGTTAAAATACTCTTTAGTGACCCTTTTCCATCATTACAGGTTTTACATTTATTGGCAAAATATGATAGAGATTTTAGGCCATAAAAGTTAAAGGGAAAAATTTTATGTTTGGATTGGCTCTCTCAAAACATGAATAGACCAGAAAATTCTCTAATTCACATAGACTTGGGTAACTCAGTATGAATACCCCCACCTTTAATTTATACTAAATGTTAGTTTAAAATACAAGTTTATTGAAGGAAGATATGGGAGACGTCCACCAAATATAGAAGGAGAGCTAAGGGTATTTTATGCAGATGGTACTTTGAGATAAAAGTACTTATGATAACCCATGAACTATTAGTACCTAGTATAATCACTCTTCCATCTTATCTCTTACTAGTTTCCAGCCTTCTTTCAGGTTCAGGAATTCACCAGCCTCTTTTTGATGTTAAGAATCTTCTCATAGATTCTTTTATTGCCTGGAAAACACTCACCCAATCCTCACATTCCTTCTCATCACTCAAGCTTAGAGTGACCTTCTCTGACCATCCCAGCCAAACAATGTTGTCCTGTATCTCACACTTCACTCCATTATTCTTATTACAGTACCTTCATCTCTTTCATGGCACTTATCACAATTAATGTATAGCATATGCATTTTTATCAAAGTAACACATGAACATAGTTTCTAAAAGTCAACTCCTACTGTAATAATGAAAAAGCAGCATTACCCCATCTAATCAGCATTCTGTACCAAGTCCCATTTTAAGCATTTTATCTTTTTTATCTGTGCTTGCATATTTCTAAATAATATAATCACACTACAATTTATTGATTTTAGGTATCAGGAAGGAAAATCATTTATTTTCTATTCATGCCTATTCCTTCATGGCTCATTCCTTCCTTAACCTCTACAAAGCCAAGCCATCATCTGGCCTGGTTTTTCATGTTTTCATATTCAAAAAAGAACATCTGACATCCACAAAATAATTCAAGTTTTTGTTTGCTCAAGCCTGTCTTACAAATTCTCTCCAAATTCTCCAAGAGAATGATAAACCCCTCAATAATGTACTTTCTCAACACCATTTACTAAACCTGTCCGTTTTGTTCTTTGGAGGCATTCATTTCTTCTGAGCCCTCTATCCTCCTGGTCTAGTCAATACTACTTGCTCTCTGAGCCTGATGAATTAATATAGTCCTGGGATATCCCTTTTTTTCTCATTTCCTGGATTCTGTATCTCCTTTGTTGCTTTATTAGCTCATCCTTCAGCTTCTAATAAATGGATACATGGGTTGTAATACTCAGTCTCACATCTAGAAAAATACTTTTATTTTACTTCATACTTAATTCAGAATTTGCCTGCGTATAGAATTCTAGGTGAGAAATTACTTTGCTTCTCAAATTTTGAAGCATTGCCCTATTGTCTTCTCACTTGCAACTGAGTGCCATTCTGATTCTTTGTATGTGATCTGATTTCTTTTTCTCCCTGGGAGCTTTCAGACTGTTTTCTCTATATTGTAAAATTTCATGAAAATGTGCCTTCCAGTTATATGCCATACGTTTCAGTTCCATATTGTCCTGGGCTCTCAGCAGCATCTTTGATTTAGAGCCATATATCCTTTGGTTCTAGGAAACTTTTGCCTTATTTCTTTGATAACTGCTACTCTGTTTTCTCTTTCTGGAGCTCCCACTAAACAAATGCTGTACCTCCTGGATCAACTGTCTAATTTCCCTATCTCTTCTCCCATATTATCAAATTATTTCTTTGATTTTCTGGAGGATTTGCTCGACTTTGTTTTCCAACTCCACTACTTAGTACGTAATTTAGAAGAGCTCTTTCTTGTTCTCTGATTGTCCCTTTCATAAAATACCCAGCTCACTTCCATGGGTATATTGTCATATCTTAATTCTGAGAATATAAAGGCTTTAAAAATAAATCTTTCTTCTCCTTCTAATGTCTGTATTGTCCTCATTTGTTTTCCCCATTTATTCTGTTCTCTAGTTCACAGCTTTTCTCAAATGTCTGGTGGTTATTTGTTGTTTGTTTATATTTAGGAGAGAGGCATCTCTGCGGGGGTGGGGGGCACCAAAGTAGACTCGATGGGTAGGAACATAATCATTTGGCAAGAACCTGATTCATGGGGCTGGATAATACCCAAATGTAAGGATTTTAGGTTGTTGTTTTTTCTTAAAAAAAAAAAAAAAAAACTGAGTCTATTTAGTTCCTTGAGAGAAAAACCTTCCAGATTCCTGTCTGCATGCAATGAGAGGGTAGTCTGTGTGTATGAGACCCAGCTGTCACAGTATTGGAACTGAACTATACAAAGGGACAGGGGATCATCATCAGTCAGTATGCAGACTTTCCTTAATTGGACTACTCTGCAGTACAGCATCTCCCTCAATATCTGATGGGATTGCTCTTTCTCAGTGCAAGCCGCACATGGCTCAATTTTTCCACATAATATACCTTCTAACTCCAGTGTCTCCTGCTAAGGTAGGGGAAAGTAAATTGTCTGACTACTTGGAAAATGGGTTAGGAACCCTGGCATCTGCATCCCGTTCTTCATATGGTTTTCAGACAATTTCCCAGTTTTGGGCCCCATGCTTCATCACTGCCTTCATGACACACACACACTCTCAACCCTCCCCACACCATCAGATTACAGACAAAGAATCAGAAATCAGAATGGCCTCTTTCTGCCATCTTGGAAAGAGAACTCCTAAAGGGACAAATATGTCTGGAAGGCTGTAGTCCAAGGCCATCTTTTCTGTCTACAAGTAGGGTCTCCGGAACCAGAGGGAACACACAGCTCTCTTATAATTGAAGGTGTTTATGCTCAAGATGAAACTGAATTCTATCCAAGCAGAGATGTGCTTATGTACAAAGCCAAGAACGACACAGTGGTTCCTGGTGACAAACCGAACAAAACCAGAGTAATCTGGGGAAATGTAACCCATGCTCATGGAAACAGCGGCGTGGTTTGTGCAAAATTCCAAAGCAATCTTCCTGCTAAAGCCATTGGCCATAGAATCTGTGTGATATTGTACCCTGAAAGGATTTAAACTTAATGAAAAGTAAATAAATAAAGGCGTGAATTTGTTCTTTGGAAAGAGAGAAAGGAAGAAGAAAGAAAGAAAGAAATCAGAATGGCATTGAGTTGGAAGTTAGAAGACAACAGAGCAATGCCTTAAAATCTAGATGCAAAATAATTTCTCACCTAGAATTCTATACCCAGGCCAATGAAGATAATCATCTTGATTTTCTGTTTTATTTCATGGCCTACCCAAGAGGCAAAGTTTACCTTGCAAGAATAACTTGTTTTAAAATGAAGATGTAATGAACAGACAATGTAGTTAGTGGATAGGCAAATTCTCAATGACTTGAGAACATGTCATCATTCAGCATCATTTTCTCTAAATAGTTCAGAATTTCCAAAACTGAAGTTTCCATATTCTGACATACTTGACCATTTTGTTTCACAGAGAAAGCATTTCCCATGAAACTGTCTAAGTGTGAATAAATTGTCCAAGTTGCTTAAGAAAAAAAGTAATTTAACAATTTTACTATGAATTATCTTTATCTGTTCCCATCTTCAAGGCTCTTCCCTGACCTGAACGCCTCGATTTTTTTTTTTTTTATCATGAGGAACAATACTATTCTAACTGGTCGTATTTTAATTAGAATATCAGCAAGAGTGCATTTTAAAGTAGTGTTAAAAAACTAATCTCCTGTGCCCTGAATGGTTCCCAGGCATTTTATCGCTTTGTTTCATAAAACCCACGTAGTTTGTGGCATTAGTATTTATCTCTAAAATCATTACCTTGTAACTATTATGCCTAGTTATGTAAAAAATAGTAAAAAGAATAGAGAAGGAAGCTAATCACCACACTCTCATGATTTTACAGTTCCTGATGTTGTTCACTTTGATTATTCATGCTATCAGTTCTATTCTCCAAATATAATTCCTGTCAGGATCATGGCTTTTTAATTCCATGTAGTTCTCTGACTTCAAATTTGTCTTAAACTAAGTAAAAATGTTACAAAGCTTCCAGGTTCTATCACAAGCCTGCTACAATTTCTTCAGCAAGCTCAGGGAGGAGGTCGGAGAAAGCAGGTTAAATAGCTACAGAGGGCAGACGTGTGGCTGGGGATAGCAAGAGGACTGATGGGACAATCCCATACTTTGGACAATTTAGTCCTATAGCAATCAGGCATCTTCTATACTTTGGTTATAGAATAGAAAATGATCAGAATATTTTAAAAATATCAGACAGCTCGGATGTTCTATCTACACCTGCAAACTGAACTAGTACTATACACTCTCAGAATCTTATTTATATACATATACTGATATCTAATTTGTATGCATATACTTCGTATCCAGAAAATAAAACAGATGCAGTAATTTTAAGAGAAGCCAAACATAAAATCCAGGGAAATAAATATAAATAAGTAAATAAGCCTGCGTTTTGTATTTTGAGAGGCAATATGGCAATGTACAGATGGCCTAACTTGGAATCCTAGCTCTACTGCTTACTACTTGTGTAGCCTTAACCTTTGTTTCATCATCTGTAGTGATAATAACAACCTTCCTTATAGAGATGCTGGAAAACAAAAGAAAATAAAACATGTGAGGTACTAAACATATAGTTAAGTGCTTGGTATATACTAGTTATTATCATAGGATGATCATAACTATCCTTGATCCAAAATAGACTTTTTTCCATTTGAACATATCACTTCTTCTTAAACTCATCAAGTCTAAAAAAGTCATAATCACTATCCCCTTTGCTTCCTTGTTTCTATTAGTGATAATACTAGCCTCTTCTAAGTGGTAAGTGGGCTCCATGGAGACCCCAAACTTTAGACATGGATACATTCTGCTCCTTTCATATTACAATTTAGGATCTACTATCGTTTCTGGGCTTACTTTTAAACAATGGAATCATATATTTTTTTTCTCTATTTCATGAAATCTACTCTTCCAAAATATAAGATACCTATTTACCTACATCCTATTCCTTTCTGTGGCTATTATAAGCTTTGAATTTAGAGTCAAATTTGTGCAAGCATACACACATGCATACACACACACCACTTTGATGAAGTTATGGAAAGGTCAGCAATATATAAATTCATTATGGTGTTTTGTTGTATCTGAAAACACCTTTAGCCAGGACAAATAGAAATGGACTGTGGTTTACTACCCTCACATTTAAGGCATCCTCGAGCTAAGGTTATGGTATTTCAACTTAGCTACATAAACATTTTTAATACTTACCAGGGTTGGCAAGAATAATCTACTGGCTTGGGCACCTAGGATATAAAAAGCCAAAAAATAGATTAAGTTTACTTAAGGGAAGCTTTTAGGAATCAATCATTAATTGAGTTTAGCTGACTCAGCTCTATAAAACCCTAAATAGCACAGTCTTGGAACTATCCATTGGCAATTTTATACAGAGTGAATCACAGTATATGTCAGATAAGTAGAAAATAATTCATTTCACTTTAATTCATTCTTTCATTCATTTTACCGCCACTGTACCTCCAAGTGGAGAGATAACAGGAAAAATATGAGTTGGAAGCTTTTGGTTTTTATTATCAAGGCAGTTTAATCCTATCATAGAAAATTAAAATGAAAATGTTAGGACAACCAACTAGACTCTGCTTTCCTAGAAAACAGGCAAAATAAACAATATATACTGGATATAGACTCTTTTTTTTTTTTTAAGGCTCTTAGTTTGTATCACAAATTCTAACCTCAAATTTTGAAATCTACCAACTGGCAAACCGTTTATTGATGGAAAGCCTTGGGAAATACTCATTTTCCCCTTTTCTCCTATGGACCTTTTGCACATGAGAAAAATGTTACACTTACTATGCAAATAAAGGCAGAAAAAGAAGAAAACTTCTAGCTGTTGATTATAACTAGAAAATGAATAAAGCCAAAGAAGGCATACTAATACTAATACTATACTATTATACTATACTAATACTCCAAGAATAACAAAACACATACTATTAGAAGAGAACAAAGTTTATAAATTCCTAAGGAAAGACAAGGAATATGGATAGTTTATTTCGTATTTAGAAATTTTTCATGGATCACCTGAGTCTTGGATGCGTATATCCCAGAGTATTCCTCAGCCTTTTCATATAAAGTGACTAAAAATATGGTTACCTTTAATTTGTAACACAGTTCTGATCAATGAAAAATTGTCTCAGCTTTGTCGGTTTTCATAATGGGTTGTTACTCTTTTGAACTTCCAGGTTAATGGTTAATAGTTATATATAATAAAATTATCTTTCTGGTCAGAGCATTTCCAAAGTTATCAGTATTTAAATATTTTTATTCTATGGAACACATGTTTAATTTCACCACCATGTAAAATCCTGATACACAGAAAATAACACTTCGAGTATATTACATCCATTCAAATCCTGAAAATATTTTTTACATCATTTTGTTCTCACAGTCATCAATCTTCAACAATTTCTCTTTAGAAGATACACATGCTTCTGAAATCTAATGGAAAAATATTCCTCCTTCCCTAATCTTTAAAAGCATGCTTATTCCTAAACCAATCTTTCTCCCTAGAGAGCGGAAACAAAAAAGCAAACACAAGAAAGGAAACAAAACCAACATAGAGGGGACAGAGAAGGGAAAAGAACTTCAACATATTCCATGGATTCCTTTGGCTAGGGAATGCTGCAGATTCACAAAAAAATGAAGGGTATAGAACATTCTAAAGCAGAGCCAGTATCCCAGCCTGTTTCATCCTGATGTCCCTTTAGAGCTTTCTCGCTCTTAGGTGAGGGATATCTTTGGTGAGTGTATTCTGACGGGTGAAGTGCTAGGACTATCTTCTCAGCACTGATCCCTATACTGAGGGTGGGATCCTATCTTTTCCCATCTGTCATGGGGCCCTCCCCACTTCTTTTTTTGGGCCCTTTTCTTATATAAGACAATAGATAATTTTCTTCTGGATAATTTCCTATCTTTGAATATATTCTCATCTTTGACCATTTTTCCCTAATGCCGTTTTCTACCTTCATCACAGGCTGTTTACATTGTTAAATTTTGGCTAGGGTCATACGGTCTTAAAAAATATCTGACTGGACATAAAGCATGTATGTAAAATAATACATATAAGATACATGCTTCCTGGGGCACCTGGGTGGGTGGTGGCTCAGTGGCTGAGTGTCTGCCTTTGGCTCAGGTCATAATCTTAGTTCCTGGGATCAAGTCCCACATCACGCTCTGCAAAGGGAGCCTGCTTCTCCCTCTGCCTATGTCTCTGTGTCTCTCATGAATAAATAAAATCGTTAAAAAAAAAAAAAAGATATGTGCTTCTTCCTGAAGTACATCTTATATGAGGTAGATGGGATAGTTAGAGGTGAACTTTCTGTGTTTGGCTAGGAATGTCATTACTTTATCCCTATGGAGGAAAGATAGATTTATAAGTTGACTAATTTCCTTTCAACACTTTGAACATATTCTTATTGCTTCAAATGTTAAAGTTTCACACTATAGAATCTCCATTTGGTTCTTTTTAGTAGTTGGTTCTATTTCTCTGTTGAGGTTTCCTGTGCATTCATTATGAACATACTTTCCTTTATGTCCTTGAGCACAGTTATCATAGCTATGTTAAAAACCTTTTCCTCCTAATTCTATCGTTTGGGACATCTCACGGTTGTTCTCCTTTGACAGCTTTTTCTTTTGAGTATAATTTGTGTTTTTCTCTTTCTTTACATATTGAGTAGTTTGGGATAGTATCTTGGACAATTTGAATAATACGCCATAGAAGCTCTGAATTCTGTGATGCTTCTACAAAGAGTGTGATTTTTCTTAAAGCAGGCAGTTAACTTGGTTGAACTCCAACTGCAAACTATCTCCCCTGTAGTGAGAGACAGATGAATTCTCAGTTTTGTTCTTTTAGCCTAAACTGAGCTACTTGGGAGTTGGCACTATGCAGCCAAACTGAGGCAAAGTTTATACACAGAACTTGAAGTTCCTCCCTCCCTGACACTTGCCTTTCTGAGATTTCCTGCCTCTCCTTCCACTTGGTGTTTCCTTCAAACTCTGCTTCTTCAAACTAGTGATACTCTGCGGTTTCTATCTGAATTTTAGCTACCCTGCATGGTGCAGCCCAGGATGCGGTCCTAAGCCAGCGACTAACCTAGCGCCACCCCTTCTCTTAGCTGGTGCTTTCATACCTCGCCCAGAGTCTGTAGTTGTTTTCTGTGGAGGCTTGATTCAATAGGGGCTACTTGACAATTACTAGAAGTGAAAACTTTTGTTGCCTCTGTTACTCCTACTGTTAGCTATGAGTGAAATCATCAACGCTTTATAGGTAATCTGTATTCTTCTTAAGGCTGGTTTTAGTATTTTCTCCTTGTTTTTGATGTTCTGCCATTGAAATGAACTAAAATATGTCTAGGAGTTGATTAATTTTATATACTCTTCTTGACTCTTGAGATTGGTTCTCCCAGAAGTTCTGGAAAATTCTTGGCCATTATTTATTTGAATATGGTCGTTTCACACTATCTCTATTTGCTCCTTAAATAACATGCATTTGAACTTTTATCACTCCATTCTCTGTTAGATTTCCATTTCTCAGACTCTCCAGATTAGTTACTGAGAAGTTTCTTCAGCTTTGTCTTCCAATTTTCTACCCAACTAATATGTCAGGTAATGTTTCCATTAAAGTTTTCATTTCACTTACTCTGATTCTTTGTGAAACAGATGCAAGAAATTTGGACAGTGGTTTGTTCTGTTCTTAGACTTTTATTCTTTTTTATTTCTTCAACCATATTAAATACAAAAATTTGACCTTGGTAACTGATAATTACACAATCTGCTGTCTTTGTGTATGTAATTATGAATTTTATTTTTTCTGAAGTTTGCTTAAGATGGTTTAATCATGAATTTGATGATCCTATATTGTGAACTTCTATTCCCTAGGACTTTAAGTCCGTTAAGGACTTTGTGCAAAGAGGCTCCAATCCAGAGACAAACTGTATTTGTATTGTAAACACAATCAATGTGAAATCATTTTAAACTGTTTCTAGCTTAGACTTATTTCAGTCACAGAGTTGGTATGAACTCCAGCCCCACACCTGGGTGATTTTTGGATCTAAGGCTAGGAATTTTAGGGGAGACTGCTTTTTTTCTTCCTAACCCAGATCCAAGATGAAAATAGGCATATCGTCTTCTGTGGAATTGTTTTCTTCTTGTTCACCCACTGAGGACACCTGAGTCACAGAGTTACCCAACTTTGCTCTGTGCTGTAGCTCCAGACTTTGTCTCCAGTTACCATACTACCAAAATGAAATGGTCTCATTTATATTCCTTCTGCATTTTCCTCAGTTCTAACTTTCTATCTGTGTATCTCAGAACTTTCAAAGAGACTGGCACAGCATATACTAAAGAATAATTTTTGAGCTCAGAACGGAATATTCTGCACAACTCATGGACCCCTGGTAAACAGTACATCCCAGGGGCAAGAGATACCATCTTCCAAACCCCTTCAACATATCCTCCCCTCCACTCTCTCCTACTTACCTTCATCTAGCTTATCCTAAACTAACAAATGAATCTATAATTTTAGTAAGTCACCACTAAAACTTTAATAACTATTTATGAACTTTGAGCTACAAAAGTCATTTTAGAACTTTGAGCTACAAAAGTCATTTTTAGTTAGTATTCCCACCCATAATTATGTGTTCCTCTATGATTCCTTAGAGCTTAAAATTCTGAACATACTTTTCCTTCTAGTAACTGAGTCACCAAATACCATTCAATAGAAGCTGATACAATTAGTACCTACTATTGTTAATTACTTAGGTTCAGCTAGGAACTTTCCTTGCTTCTTAACCCTTTAGTTCATTGATACAACAAAATGTATTAAATACCTGCTATGTGCCAGAATTTTCCTAAAAATAAAATTTCAAATGTTCATTTCATGCCATATTCAAGAGGCTGTAAAAAGATAATAGAACTTTATACATAAAATGTTTAATATTCTTGATTTGATGTCTTTAGGTTCCCAAACAACCTAATGTTAGAATGTATAATCTCCTGCTTCCTGCCTACATATAAATATCGTTGCTTTAAGCATAGGAAGCCTGAATCTTGTTCATACAAATAAGAGAAAACTAACTAAAAACTCATTTTTACATAATTAGAGTGGTATCAAAGTTCAACAATTTTCTAGGATTACTAGATAAAAACAGGTGATATTAGATCACAGAATGAACAGAATAGCAAATTCTTTTTGATTTGCTTTTGAAATTAATGAAGCTGCAATACATACAGTAAATTAATCTACAGACTACATTCTGAATCAAGGGTGGCTGACATTGCTATCAAAAAGAATGTCCAGGGCAGCCCCAGTGGCGCAGCGGTTTGGCGCCACCTGTAGCATGGGGTGCGATCCTGGAGACTCAGGAGTCCCACGTCAGGCTCCCTGCATGGAGCCTGCTTCTCCCTCTGCTTGTGTCTCTACCTCTCTCTCTCTCTCTCATGAATAAATAAATAAAATCTTAAAAAAAAAAAAGAATGTCCAGTTTGTAAATCTAGGAAGGATTGAAATATAGCAATTAAGAATAATATGAGGGCTTTTTTTAAAATCATCAACTCCATTATATTACTATAGGAATCTCATTTACTTTGAATCAAGAACTTCAAAAGTTTCATAGAAAAATCCACCCTAAACTCCAATTTATGATAAAATAATGTCACCTTAAACAGAAATTTATAAATTTAATATAACACCAAAAAGTACATCTTATGTTATACTCATCCATAATATTTGAGTAAATGCTCATTCATTCTCCTTGTTTCTAGCTAATGTGTTTGATGTTTTCAGAAAATGCCATTATGACATTAAATAAACAAAATGACAAATGAAAGCACAGAAAAATGTATTTAGAGATTTGATTGAAGAATCTGTGGACTTCATGCTATTATGCTTTCAAACACACTAGCTGAAGTGTAGTAACTCTCTATAACCCCAAATGACTAGGAATAGATGAGAGCCTACCATTCTCACCTCCGTGGGAAAAGGGGAAAATGCATCTAATCTGTAACTTTATTTTTTCTAACATCTTGTAGACAATTTTGTTAATTCTACTAAGTTCAATTTTCTCCTTGTATATATCATTTAAAAATATTTTCTGACAACGGAATCATGAGGGTTTTAGAATTTTAATAATATTGACCATATATTCAAACTTGAAATATAATCCCTCCAGAAAAAAGTAATAAAATTATGGACAAGACCATATCCTTTGTACATTCTTGCACAATTAATTAAAGCATCAAACCCAGAAAAAAAATGGAAAGAAAATCCTCATACTTACACATGGGCAAGGTTTGACAGCATCACTTGGAAAAAATCCAACCTCTCCAGATGCTAGATTTCTACCCTAAATTAGGGGGAAAAAATAACAGATTTAAGAACCCATTTACTACAAATGATAATCTCATAATGCTGTGTACATAGTGTCGTTACTCAGAATCCTCAGAATAAGTTACGTTTTATCCAGTCCTAAACATGAAGTTATTTACTATGGCTCAGGAAAGAAAAGCAGAAGCAGAGAGGTTGTACAATTATTAAACTTTACATGTTGTTTGTTTCAGATGGTAATTATGAAATAAGAATTCAAGTTTGACTTTCTAAACTATGATTCAATCTTGTTAACTTTACATTCCTCAATCCAATATAGAGATAATCGCATATTTGATCTATTTTATATTCGCTAATACAAGAACATACACTGGTTTTGTGCAGGCTCACAATTAATTAGAAATGGGATTTAAATGGTTGCTATTGGTATCTTTAACAGAACTCTTAAGAACATTCCTTCAACAAGAGAGGAGGCATTTCAAGACTTGTGGAAACATGATATGAAGTTTTAGATGGTTTTCAGATCTAGGAGAAAGGATAGGGTATTGATCAAGAGAAGACAGTCAAGGCGTTGGAGGAAAGGACTGTAAGTTAAAATGACATTGTAAATGAGAAAAGAGGGAAGAAACAAGCAGAATAAGGAAAACTTAAGTGCCAAATAGACCAAAAAAAAAAAAAAAAAAGCTTAAGAATTTATTTTTAAAAATCTTTGGTCAAATTCTCTTCTAAAAAACTTCATCAGGGAATGTAAATTGGTATAGCCACTGTGGAAAACAGTATTGAGTTTCCTCAAAAGATTAAAAAATACAAGTACCATATGATCCAGTTATTCCATTACTCTTATTTACCCAAAGAAAACAAAAACACTACTTTGAAAAGACATATGCACTCCTGTGTTTACTGCAGCCTTATTTACCATAGCCAAGATACAAAAGCAAATGTCTCTTGATAGATGAACAAAGAAGACGTGGTATATGCATACAATGAAATATTACTAAAGCATAAAAACTGGATGCGATCTTGCCATCTGTGACAACATGGGTGGGTCTGGAGGGTATTATGCTAAATGCAATGTCATACAGAGAAAGACAAATGCCATATGATTTCACTTATATGCAGAACCTTAAAAAAATGAATAAACAAAAAGCAGAACCCATAAATACAGAGAACTGGTCATTACCAGGGGAAGGAGGTTAGGGTTAGGGGCATGAGCAAAATGGGTGGTGGTGAGTAGGAGAGAGAGGCTTCCAGTTATGGAATGAGTAAGTCACCAGAACAGAAGGTACAGCATAGGGAGTACAGTCAATGGTACTGTAACAGTGTTGTATGGTGGCAGATGGTAGCTACACTTGCGGTGAGCACAGAACATACAGACCTGTCAAAACACTATGTTGCACACCTGAAACAACGTAACATTCTGTTTTACTTCACACACAAAAAATCAGATGACACTAAACCTACAATTGTTTCCCTTTTGCAGAAAGACCAACTATACTCAAACTGGAACTGGAGGGTATTATGCTGAGTAGAAGTAAGTCAATCGGAGAAGGACAAACATTATATGGTTTCGCTTATATGGGGAATATAAAAAATAGGGAAAGAGATCATAGGGGAAAGAAGAGAAAATGAGTGGAAAAAATCAGAAAGGGTGACAGAACATGAGAGACTCCTAACTCTGGGAAACAAACAAGTGGTAGTGGAAGGGGAGGTGGGTGGGGGAATGGGGTGACAGGCACTGAGGGGGGCACTTGACGGGATGGGATGAGGACTGAGTGTTATACTAGATGTTGGCAAATCGAACTCCCCCCCAAAAAATACATTAAAAAAACCCACACTGCAACAATCACAACATGTAATTAAAAAGTTCTTGGGAGATTGTCTTCTTGCCCAAAAATTGGGCTTATTTTTGTTTACTATTTAATAATTGTTTCTTCTCAGTAGTTGAGATGAGTAAATAGCATTATGACTGGATGTTACATGCTCAGTTATTTTTGACAAAGAAAAGTAACAAAAAACTATCAGCAAATATTTCCCTCTAGAAACAGTATCCTTTTGTGCCCAAGCCAAATTTCACAGTGAATTAAAGAATTAATTAAAGAAAAGGATGAAGAGGAGGAAGGAGAGAAAGAAAAAATGGGAAGGGGCAGCAGGGCAGTGGGAAAGAGGGAGGGGAAGTGTAGCAGGAAAGGGGGAAGGGCCAGAGGAAGGGAAATGACAGAAAAGAGAAGAGGAAGGGTGGGGTTCAATTAAATAAGCAAGCAAAGAGAAGATGTTTGTTTGGGCAAGATTCTAAAACTATACTGTACTCACATATCAGAAAAAAAGGTAAATGAACAAGTAGAATATGCATTCATTTATTCAACAAATACAGCATCTAATATCAATTTGGTTAGGCACTTAGGAAAATGCAAAAATTCGTAAACCAGTTCCCATTTCCCCCTATCTTTTTGGAGCAAAGACAGGTACGCACATAATTTTATACAAGATGGAAAAGACTAAATAAATACTGTTAGGTGCAGAGGAGAGGCTATGGAAATTGGAAAGGTGGTTTCAGTATTAGGGGTTTGCCTGAAAGCTACATGGAAAGGGGGGCACATGAATATAAAATGTGGGTTTGAACACACAGAGATGGAAATGGAGGGGAACATTCTGAAGACAAAATAAAGCATAAGAAAGGCATAGGGGCATGAAAGTATAGGTTGTACATAGGAAACACAAGCAGAATCTAATAATGGCTTATACTTAGTGCACCCACTGCTCTGTGCACTTCATTATCCATACAGTGATCCTTTGCGGTACGCCCATCACAGTCCCCATTTTGTAGGTGAGGAAGTTAAATGATCACGCCATGATCACAGAGCTAGCAATTGACAGAACCAGAGTTCAAATTCAGATGTTCCAACTTCAGAGCTTGGCACTGCCTTTCTACACAACCATTAGACTCATAAGGAGGAAGGAGGGACATAGAGGTAAAAGGTGGCCCCTTTATTACTGGTGAGGGGATTTCAGTGAAGGGGGTATATGCTTTAGAAGAAGTACACTGGCATCAGTGTGCAAGCTGGCTTGTAGGTGGGCAAGGCTTGGTAGGTGAGAGTATCATTAGAGAATTGTGTCATGGTAAGGGAGGAGGGGGGACCGATGTTGGGAGACATTACGGCACTAGGGTCTAGGGGCTTGCCTGGGGAGTGGGTGAGGAAGAGAAGAGCATGGGAGTTGAAGAATAGGGGAAAGTCAAGGATGGGGGTGATTACATAGGCCATCCAAACACATAACTCAAAGGCAGACAGCAATTATACAGAGGGGAAACTTCAAATCAATGGGACAAGGCGATTGTAGAAGGAAATGTAGACAGAAAATGATAAAAGATAGAACTTACAGGAATTAGTCTAAGTAGGAGGTAGGAAGGAGGCACCAGGAGGAGAGTCAGAGACTAGAGGGTGTTGAGAACACAGTGATTATAAGGTAGGAATGCAGTGCTTTTCTCATTCAACTGCATTGAGTGCTTTATTTCTTTTCAGCATGACACTGAGGTATAAGTAAATAGGTATGATATCTGGGGACTTTACACCTAGCCGGACCTTTTCTGCAGAGACCAACTGCAAAGCTACTTGAGTACAACATATATGAGTATGTGGGTGGGGACCGTACATGAAAGGAGGCTCAGAAGAGGAAGAGGTAAGGGTGATTGCTTTTAAAAACTAAGATAAGACCTCTGAGAGCACTAAAGGAAGTCGGTCTATTTTGCAGGGGAGAGGCAACAAGTTGGAAAATTAAGAGCTGTTCTACGAATGGTGAACTGTCAATCCACATTCATCAGAAAAGAACAAATGGTCTTCATCTCTGGAAAGCGGAGTTCAAGAGAAGCAGTGGTGTTTCCTGGCAGCGCATGTTGGCCAACATAATAGCACCTGTTTCCCTAGAACAAAACTGACACGGGTCCCTCTTCTAGATCGATCCTTTCATTATTCGCCACCAGAGCTTGGTTCACACATTACTACCCCGTCATCTCTTCTGTAAGTGCAAGTGCAGATTTAATCTCACTCTATCCTGCAGCACCTCCACAGACTACTAGTAGCATGCTGCCACACGCAGGTCACTATTGCTCTAGATGGCCTTCTCCAGCACTAGGCCAAATTTTTAAAATCCGGAACAATGTCATTTTTTACAAGAGAATGCCAAATGCATAGGATTTAATGAATGTTTGTAATTTGGGGTATTTCTCAATCTCATAGTCACATGTCAGTGAGCAGCATGACCTTAAATTCCTCTTAATTGAAAAGAATAAAATATACCACCCTTTGTTTTCACACAGTCAAGCACTGAGAAAAGCATCGAACTGTTTCTATATAGGAGAATATTCTTATAGCGGCACTGCTTGGCCTATAGCTGACATTTTATAGAAGTAAGCAGTGCGCTGAAGAAGGTAATGCACAAAACAGGGAAAAGGACGTGGGAGGGCAGGCCGGGTGGCCCAGCGGTTTAGCGCCGCCTTCAGCCCAGGGCGTGATCCTGGAGTCCTGGGATGGAGTCCCGCATCAGGCTCCCTGCATGGGGCCTGCCTCTCCCTCTGCCTGTGTCTCTGTCTATCTCTCTTTCTCTGTGTGTGTGTCTCTCATGAATAAATGAAATCTTTAAAGAAAAAGAAAAGGAGGTGGGAACACAAAGAATGTGAGGTTAGAGACACATTAAGGAATTTTATAACTTCTGAAGGTGAACGGATGAGTCTACCTTGCCGGTTGTTTCTCCCTTATAGAACCAAGGGTTTTATCTTAACAGCATGAATGGGATCTGTAACTGTCTTAGACAGAAGAGGAAGGGGCATGGTTGTATGAGAAATGTCCTAAAGCTAGGGTAAACATTCAATTTTCTGTCCAAACCAGGATCTTTTCAGAGGAAAGGGTAGTGACTAATAATATGGCAGGACAAAAGGTATAAATTGGGGCTGTGGGAGGTAAACCAGGTCATATGGTTACTGTATCAAAAACCAGTCTGTTGGGACACCTGGGTGGCTCAGGGCGA